AATGCATTGTGTAAGTAAAAAATAATCATTTGAATAATCGTCATTTCAGTATTGACCAGAATCGAGCAGCCCTAATTTATATATACAGTCTATGAAAACCAGGCAATTCAGATATATTGGTAATTGAACTAAAAACATTCACTATTTCACATAAATAAAAACATTTTTTGTGTACACATTTGCCATTTTCACAGTAACAGAAACTTCCATTTGTGAAGATGTTATAAAAGCAGCTGAGAGAGGTTTTTGTGAAGTTACAAATGTGATTTTCTTTTCACCCAAAACATGTTTACATCGACCTTCTCCATTTTACTAGAACGGCTTTAGTAATACGTTTCAATTATTCAATTTAGCACTTAGAATCTACGTGATAAGAAACCCACATTGTTTCATTCGGTTAGTGTTACAAAAAGCGCTCCCAACTATTCATAATGAGATCAGCAATCGATTAGCCTGAAAACTAATTCAATCGCAGATGTTATCATAATAGACACGTTACTAGCTACAAAAAAATAAATAAAAAGTGGAGGAAAACTCAATTTCACACATCAAAAGGTGAATAAAGCACATTTGAGTAGTTTTCCCCTTCGCTGCGTTCTGTCCTCCAGCGCTGGGAGTAAAAAGGGAGGATGAGGCAGGCACAGTGAGAGGAGAAGAGGAGAGATGATAGAGGGGTGACAGAAAAAAACTCATTTAACCTGGGGCTATTTGCAGCTCACAGCCGTTGTGATGACTTCCCTTATGACGCTTTCAAAAACTGACAAATTTATTACCCACAATGCATTGCTCCTCCACAGATTAACAGCGCCATATTTTACCCGTTGGTGTGTGAAAGCTCATCCACCTGACTGTAGCTAATGCCAGCCCTTTCCGTCATGCTTGCATTTATTTTTCATGTTTTTTTTTTCCCCACTTGCCCACCGTACAATTCTTTACCTCATTCTCACCTAGGATTTTTTCCCCAAAATTTCTCTCCTTTGCCATTTTTGACTCAAATTTTCAACAATTTTAGCAGCAGCAGATGCACCGTGATTCAGGAGAGTGTAATCCTGACGTGGGCAACATAAAGCCAAATAATGCTGCTTTTCTCTGTTTAGATTTATTATTTTTTTATTTAAATGACGTGAGGTAAGGTCATTTATTGTTCCTGTTCTTTCCATCGCTTCAGTGTACATTTATGTAACTGGCTCCATCACTGTCAAAATTTGTATTTATATCAACATAAAAAAAAAGAAGAAGGAGTAAATAAATTAATCTTTTTAATCATACAGTAGTCTCAGTTTTATATAAATTTAGATTTCTACTATAAGCAACGTGTTCAGGACTTCCACATTCAAAAGAGATAATGTTTAGTTTTAAAGGTGCATTGTGTAACTTCTGGTGAGTGAAAATTTTATTCTTTTGTCTGGAATATTTCATAGTTTGGCCTTAAACCTTTCTATCTTCATGGAGACCAAACCAGACCAAGTTACAAGTCAGATCTGTGGAAAAGTGACCCAGCTCACAGTCAGAATTCCTGTTTTTCTGACCTGTAATTTAATAAATGTTAGACTACGTTTATATGATGACGGTCTGAGCAGAAGAAGCAAAAGTGGCGTCGTATCTTCACTTTTTATTCTGCGTTTAGACAAGAGTTTTCAGGAGGAAATTTTGAAATGTATTACTAAATCATATGGTGACGCAAAAGTGTGTGGAATTCGGCTGTGTATGCATGCCAGGCGGCTCGGAGATGACGCTAGGTGGTGATGTATGTGACGTTAGCGTGTACGCGACGTGAACAGATCTGACCAGAGTTTTGCGTCTTGGTCAGTGTAGATGGAAACGCTATGTCAGAAGTATTCAACTTTTCCACTCTGGAGGGTGGTTTCAGATTTTTGCGTTTTTAGGCCCCAAAAGACAAGAAATCCACTTCTGATAAAATATTTTGTCGTTTTTACCTGCACGAGTTCTCGTGTAAACAGGCCCTTAATGTCATAGTGTGGAACATTCTAGACAGAGCAATGACATCTCCATAGAAACCAGCAGGTGATGGATCCTCCACCAGAAAAGTTGCATAATGCACCTTTAAGATAGGATTTAAGATAATATAACCCTTTATTTGTCCCACATTGGGGAAATTACAGTGCTGCAACATAAAGTTCAAAGAACAGTAGGGGAATAAGAATAATCTCCCATTGTTAATCACTATGGCAATGGTCTGATTTTTCATCATTCTGAAACTCATGCATATCTACTGCAAGACAAGAGCATTTTGAAGATAAATGGTCTCTCTCCTGCAGGTTTGTGCTTATAGATCTCATCTTTATTTCCATACATTGCTACGGTGAACAAAAACGGCTTTATGTTATCTCATTCTGATTCTAGTTTCTCCAAGTGAAAAGTCACAAAACTCTCTCTCACAAGAATGCCCCGTTTTTATTAAAGCGCATGTATCCCTGTGGTTAGAAAGAAGATTTTCCTCCTGTTGTTCCCAGCTCAACAGTATAAAAAGAGGTTTTGTCTTTTTCTAATTTGGTGCAAAGTCCCAAAAGTTGTTGGTGTGGTCTTTAGCGAGTGGAAGTGTGAGTGCGTTCTGAATATGCATGAGTTAGTTCAGTGGGATGTGCAGGCTGCCAGGCCAGCTGGTGCTGTGGAGTTAACACAGTGTCTCTGTAGATGTCACTTCTGATGTCCTTTTAAACAGGTCAGTGGGGTTCTCACTCAGCAGCGGACAATGGAGGTATTAAATGAACAAACACACGAAAAAACACCAGTGTATTTTTAAATTCTGCATGAAAGCTGTAGTTTACTTTTACCAGCTTTAGAACAGAAAAGCAGAGGTTAAAAAAAAGACTGTTATGTAATTCTAAACATGAAAAATAACCTATTTTGGAAAATATATACAAATCAATTTCAGTCTTTTTAAAATCAGATTAAAATGTTAAAGGTGCACTGTGTAACTTTTCTGTTGGAGGATAGGCTTGCCTCATGGATACATTACTGTTTTGCCTGGAAAGTTTCACAGAAAATATATTTATTTATCAATCTATTACTCAATTTCAGTATTTGTATTGCTCAAAAATACACAGAGACCTGAACTTCTGGTCTGGTGAAAAGTTACACAGTGCACCTTTAAAAATGATAAGAGCATTTTCACATCAAGTGTAAGTTTTAGTATTTAATTATTTTTTAGTATTTAATTATTTAAGTTTTCGTATTTAGTTATTGCATTGCATTATTAGTAATTTTCTGCCCCATGCAATTCTGTTTTTCATGCCATGTTTAAATTCTGGCAGCATAAAAAAAATATGGAAAAGGAGACTATTCCACATAACACAAACTGCATCTATGGATGATAAACAAGCTTTTCAACAGTCAGCAGTTTGACCAGCCTCACTTAAGGATGTAAAAATATCTGGACAGTGCCCTCTTTTGGTTGACAATGGAGTTATTAAAATGCCTGTGATTTGAAGAGAACTATCTTTGTCTCATTCTTATCCCAGAGCCTACAGGCCTCCAAGCTCAAGTCCTTTTATATATATAGACTCTTTTGTAACTACAGGAATGTGCATTGTATCTTATTTTCAGCTAATCCCTGATATATGGTTCATGCTCCAGAAATACACCGCAGCCCGGCCTCAGTGAACAATGTATGTGCCAGGCAGAATATTCAGAAGGAATGCATGTCATCTCCTAAGATAAGTATAATTAATATGATTTTCCTTTACTTCAGTCCCTTTAGTGACTGATGGAGAATGAGCTGCTCACTTTGGGTTGCCAGATCCTATGACTTTAAATGTACAACACTTTGAAAATGGTTTTGTTTATAAAATGTGCTATGGAAAGAGTGGATTTGGATTTGGATGACTAAAACCAGTTTGCAATAAACCCCAAACCGGCTCTTTATGTGTGCGCAGATACTGTATGTAGTAAGTATGTTCAAATCAAATGCTGCTTATATTTATACTTATACAATGCTTGTTTATTTTGAGTGACAAAAGTGTTCAACATGACATCGACATTGCTAAATTGTTGATATTTTCATTTGATATTCTATATCCAATCAGAAAGCAGAATGAGACAAACATGAGTCTCTTATTTGGGTTGCCAGGTTCAGTGCTGAAATTCAGTTGGAGGTCTGTCCATAGACTGAGATTGAGAGAAAAACCTGTATACCGTATTTTTCGGACTATAAGTCACACTTTTTTCATGGTTTAGTGGCCCTGTGACTTATATTCTGGTGTGACTTGTATATTAAAATTTTCACACTGACAGGCTCAAGAGGGCGCTCTAGACTCATGTGTCAGTATCTGCTGCTCCTATTACTCCTGTACCACTGTCACTTGGCTCTACTGCACATGTCTCCTGCAGAAAGAGTCACTGTCCTGTCTGTATCATGTTAGTCGATCGTACCATTACTTCTGTACCATTGAAAATTTTAAATTTAAGTGACAACCATCCTGTCGGGATTCAGAAAGGCAGGAATAATTCTAACTGAAACTGAAGCTGAGTCTAACGACAACTACACAGAAGAAGAAGCGGCGCTCGGTTTACCTCCGGAGGTCACCGAGTTGCTCAGAAGTGAAGAATTCAGTGGATTTAGTGATTTGGAGTGAGATGGAGAGTTTGGTAAACTTGTTCTGTTCTGTTGTTTCTGCTATAGTTTATCTGAAGAACTGTTCATATGTGATGTTAACAGCCTGTTGTTCTCTGTTCTATTGTTATTACTAGAACTTGCCTTTCAATATGAAATGTCAGTTCCTGGTCTCTGATTTTATAAAATAAATTTCCCCCAAAAGTGTGACTTATAGTACAGAGCGACTTATATATGTTTTTTTCTTCTTCATTTTGCATTTTTTGGCTGGTGCGACTTCTACTACGGAATGATTTATACTCCGAAAAATACGGTAGTCCTCTGTCTGCAGGTTCAGTGCTGATTGAACTTCCTTCTTTTGTCTACACCCACACCTTTAATTCAATCATTTTAATATGTCCTATTAATTCTATCATTCCTGACTCACCGATATCATCAATCTTTAGACCTGGTCTGAGCGTGTAGTCTGCTCCTGTGGGCTCTGGCTCATCATGGGCATCAGATGCTGAGGAAAGAGAGAGAAAAAGAGAAAGAAAGAGAGACAAAAGGTCAAACCCACTGCTCCAACCCAAAAGCTTTTAATTACATCTACAAAAGCGACGCAGTGAAAGGGTTAACAAAACCTCCTGCAGCGCACAGACTGAGGGGGCGATCAAACTGAAGACAAGCTGTGAGTGTGAATGAGGAGAGAGAGAAAAGGATAGAGAGAGAGAGAGAGAAAGAGGGAGAGAGGTTAGCACTGTGGAAGTTAAAAGGACCGGACAGGCCAGGGATCAAAGTGAGTGTGTACATGGGCGTGCAAAGAGTTGTGTAGAGCGAAAGACGGGGTAAGAAAGAGAAAGAGAAGAAGAGAGAGTTAAAGGGATAAAGAGGGAGAAAGAGAGCGAGTGGGAAAGAAATAGGGGAAAAGAGATGAGAGAGACTGACTGAAAGGGAGGAGAGAGATGGAGAAAGAGTGAGAGAGAGAAAGGGAGAGAAGGGGAAAAAAAGAGAAGGAGAGAGTGTGAGAGAGACAAAAAGAAGTAAGTGAGGAGGAAGATCGAAGGAGGTATAAAAAGACAGAAAAAGAGAGTAAGAGGGAGAGAACAGGAGAGGGGATAGAGAGAAAGAGATGGAAAATAGAAGAGAGAAAAGCAAGTGAGAGAGAGGGAGGGAGAGAAAAGGAAAAGAGACTGAAAGAGTGTGAAAGAGACGAAACGAGCGACAAAGGGGAGTAAAGAGAGCGTAAGAGGGAGAGAAGAGGAGAGGAGAGGGATAGAGAGAGTGGGAGAGAGAAGAGAGCAAGGAAAAAGAGAGGAGAGAGAGAGAGTGACGAAAAGAGCGAAAAAGGGGGAGTAAGTGAGGAGGGAGATGGAAGGAGAGAGTGACAGAAAGTCAGAGAGAGTAAGAGAGAGGAGATAGAGAGAAAGGAATGGAAAGTAGGAGAGAAATGAGAGTGATAGAGAGAGGAAGGGAGAGAGAGAAAGGGTGAGAAAAGGAAAAAGAGAGATGAAAAGAGCGACAAAGGGGGAGTCAGTGAGGAGGGAGATAGAAGGAGAGAGAGAGTGACAGAAAGAAAAGAGAGCGAAAGAGGGAGAGAACAAGAGAGGGGATAGAGAGAAAGGAATGGAAAGTAGAAGAGAAAAAAGCGAGTGAGTGAGAGAGAGAGAAAGGGAGAGAAAAGGAAAAGAGATGAAGACAGCATGAGAGAGAGATGAAAAGAGTGACAAAGGGGGAGTAAATGAGGAGGGAGATCGAAGGAGAGAATGATAGAAAGACAAAAAGAAAAGAGAGTAAGAAGGAGAGAACAAGAAAGGTGATAGAGAGAGAGATGGAAAGTAGGAGAGAGAAAAGCGAGTGAGTGAGAGAGAGGGAGAGAAAAGGAAAAAGAGAAGGAAGGAGAGAGTGACAAAAAGCCAGAAAGAAAAGACAGCGTAAGAGGGAGAAAACAAGAGAGGGGATAGAGAGAGTGGGAGAAAAGAGAGAAAAGAGAATGAGAGAAAGGGAGGAGAGAAATGGAGACAGAGTGAGAGAGAGAAAAAGGGAAAAAGAAAGAAGGAGAAGGAGGTGAGAGAGATGAAAAGAGCGAAAAAGGGGGAGTAAGTGAGGAGGGAGATGGAAGGAGAGAGCGACAGAAAGACGGAGAGAGTAAGAGAGAGGGGATAGAGAGAAAGGAATGGAAAGTAGGAGAGAGAAGTGAGAGCGATAGAGAGAGGAAGGGAGGAGAAAGGGTGAGAAAAGGAAAAAGAAAAGGAGAGAGCGTGAGAGTGACGAAAAGAGCGACAAAGGGGGAGTCAGTGAGGAGGGAGATGGAAGGAGAGAGTGACAGAAAGAGAGAAAAAAGAGAGTGTAAGAGGGAAAGAACAAGAGGGGATAGAGAGAAAAGGATGGAAAGTAGGGGAGAGAAAAGCGAGTGAAAGAGAGGGAGGGAGAGAAAGGGAAAAAGAGGAGGAGAGAAAGTGGGAGACGAAAAGAGCAAAAAGAGAAGGAGAGAGTGACAGGGACAGAAAGAAAAGAGCGCAAGAGGGAGAGAAGAAGAGAGGGGATAGAGAGAGCAGGAGGAGAAGAGAGCAGGAAAAACGAGAGGGAAGAGAATGAGAGAAAGGGAGGAGAGAGATGGAGACAGAGTGAGAGAGAGAGAAAGGGAAAAAGAAAGAAGAGAGAGACGAAAAGAGCGAAAAAGGGGGAGTAAGTGAGGAGGGAGATGGAAGGAGAGAGTGAGAGTGACAGAAAGCCAAAAAGAAAGAGTAAAAGGGAGAGAACAAGAGAGGGGATAGAGAGAAAGGAATGGAAAGTATTAGAGAGAAAAGTGAGTGAGAGAGAGGTAGGGAGGGAGAGAAAAGGAAAAAGAGAAGGAAGGAGAGCGTGACAAAAAGACAGAAAGAAAATAGAGAAGAAGAGAGGGGATAGAGACAGCGGGAGAAGAGAAGAGAATGGGAAAAATAAAGGAGAAAGAATGAGAGAAAAGGAGGAGAGAGTTGGAGAAAGAGTGAGAGAAAGGGAAAAAGAGAGAAAGAGAGAGAGACTAAGACTAAGAGAGAGTAAGTGAGGAGGATGACAGAAGGAGAGAGAGAGAGAGAGTGAATAGGGCAGAAAGACAGAGAACGAGAGAGTAAGTGGGAGAGAAGAAGAGAGGGAATGGAAAGTAGGAGAGAGAAAAGCGAGTGATAAAAAGAGGGAGGGAGAGAGAGAAAGAGAGACAGGGGTTATGTTATCGGCACATATTCATACAGAGCAACTCACTGACCGAACACGACAATAAATGAATACTGACACAGGGAAAAGAAGAGAGGAGGAGGAGAGCGGAGGTGTGGAGAGGGGGCACAGTGCCTTCAAACATGCTCCTCTCTGTAGTGAAGGGGAAAAGGGGATGAAAACAAGATGGGATCAGGAGCGAAAATGCCAAAGGGGTAAAGTCAGAGGTTTCATGAGTGTATTCAGATGGGAGCGTGCATAAAGGCCGTCACATTCAGATGAGAGGAGGTGAAGAGGGAAATGCCAGGACGCGGGTCGCACGCAGAAAGAGAGACTCACCCGTGGAACAGCAGACGTACACTCGTAGCCTCAGACAGCTGCGGCCGTGGTGATGTGTGGGCGTGGCTGAGCACAGATACAAACACAGATACACATTTATATACAGGAGTTATGTTCATTTATGTTCATTTATATTTAAAGGAACACTCCATAACTTTTTAGGTACGTACTATTAACTATTACGAGGGCTGGGTGTCATTAAGAAGTTGCCAATAGGCGAGTTTCAGCTGACGTCATTGTTATTAAAAGCCCACGTTGCATGCTGGGAAATATTTTGGTCGGAGGCAAGAAACACGATAGCGTCAAGCACAGTGTGTAACCTCACGTATTTATCCCCGATAATGGTAAATTCCTGCTGCATTATCGGATGCACAAATAGAAGCACAGAAGAAGGAAAATGTCTTTTTCGTATTCCGAGTGAAAAGAACCTCTAACGGTGAATTAAACGGCTTTCAAACATTCGCAGAGCAAACGTAGAAGATCCTAGCAAACCGTGGACTCCAACAAGTTCAACAACACATCGAGACTCTTGGAGGCTTTCATCTTTTCTGCTGTGAATGGCCCAGGAGTTTCCACCAAGTGAATATTTGGCCAGGTAATTGGCGATTCCGACCAGAAATTTGGTTTGGTCCAGGCTTTGTCGGGGTTGAAAAGGGTGATTTGGCTCCATCGACGCTTATGACCAATTTCTGGTCAAATGGTCTTTGGTCCTCTGCTGTTAGAGTGGATAAATAACCGGGATCAATACCCTTTACGTGCTTTCTCGCTCCGTCCGTCATGTTGAATTATTTATTGCCGCCGACCAAAATAATTCCCAGTAACGCGCGCTTTTGTCAACAATGAAACTCGCCTATACGATACATACCTCAATACATAAGCCACGATATGATACATATCTCGATACAGTGCACTTTCGATTCGATACAATATATTTCAAATTGATTCAATACGGTTCAATTTAAAAAAGGCTAAATCATGTCTGTGATACTAAAACTCTTTGTTAAACCAATTCTTGCGCAAAGTTCATATGAAACACACCAACTGTAATCAATAAAACTGTGAAAATGTCAAATGTGTCGCATAAACAAGTTTCTTTTCACTGAATAAGTAACAAAACTGTAGCGCTGTAACAAAATAATTTCAAAAAATTTACCAAAAAATACTCGATATATCGATACAGCAGCCCACAATATCGATACTCAGTGGTGAACCGTGGACCTGGACGCTGGACTTTCACTAGGACCAGCTGCTGACTACCATGACCATCATTTATTTAAAAAAACCCAAATGAAGCGAATCATACATTCACTTACTTCATATATTTGCTTAATAATCATTAGCCACTGTTCAACAACTACAGATCTGAGGCCTGCGGCTCCGAGCTCCGGCCTGACCACGGGCCTCGAGCTCCGGTTCTCAGGTCTTTCTCTTTGTTTTCCTTTTTTCAGACGCACCCGAGGTCCATCGCATTTTTTGACCCTGTGGTCTCGCTTATATTTGCTGTCACAGGGTATTTGTGAAGACCCGGAAGATGTTATAATTATGATCCTGCCCAATAATCAATGAAATATGATTGGCCAAAACAACTGTCAAACTCAAACTTATACCCACATTGACTTGGGCCTTCGATACAGCCATAGACTGTATAAAAGAAGATAATTAAAATACAAAACTGTGATTTTTTTTCAGCAAATATGGGTCTTAAAGAGGCAGTGCTGACTATATTAAAATAGCTGTAAAATCGACTCAAGTGCTACAAATATTTGCAAAAGTGCAGTGATATAACAAAAAAAGTAAGTAAATGTAAATAAATAAATGGACATCAAACAACACTTATATTATGACTTTGAATAAAACCTTAACACAGCTAAATAATATCCCTATTTTAATTAAAAATACTGTACGGTATATACCACTGATGTTTGGTAGTCATAATTCTTTTATAATTTTGTGTTTTACTCATTTTATTGTGCATTTGAGAATTAGTAGAACTATGAAATTTCCCTTATCGATCTATTAATACTATCTACTATCTACTACTAAGTCTGAGTATCCGTGTACTCACATATGTAGTAGTACTCCTGCCCCACGTTGAACTCGTAGCCCAGGGAGAAGGCGCTGTACCGCTGAAACTTCTCTGAGAACTTGATGGGCGCGTGGGGGGCGTGGGGCCGGTTGCACTCCCACCTCTTAAAGCCCAGCTGCGGGTCACATGTGCGGTAACCACGGTAACTGACCATGTAGAGGACATACTGCTCGCTGGTGCCCACCATGCGCGTGCTGTCGTTGTAGTGGGGGCAGTAGATGTCCAGGTAGTCGTTCACGTTCACCTGCATCGTGTAGCCCTCCCGCCGCAAACTGCACAAACACAAAAAGAAAGAAGCAAGGGTTAGTTAATAAATCACAAATGAATCAAAACATGAATATTTGAATATTTTTGGGCTGTGTTCACATTAGTTTGAGTCTGATTTAGTCCTGATGTAGACTTGGGTTGGTCCTGCTCTAGTCCTGGTTTAGTCCTGTTTTAGTCCTGGTTTAGTCCCAATTTTGATGGAGCATGGTGTGTGTACAGGTATGAAAACAGACTTAATAAGCAAATCATAAAAGCGGCAACACTGCAAATAACAAAATATCCTAATAGTTGGATTAAAATGACAAAAAATCCACAATAACCCCTGCTTTTATTATTTCTTTTGTGCATTTAAACACACCTAAAATCAGATCTAGTTATTGAATTATCAGATTTTGACAGGCCATGTGAATGTATTATTTATTTATTTTGCACTTATACAAGAAATAACAATAGAACTGGTACACTAGATGAACAAGTAGGTGCATGAAAAGGAATCCTTAAAACTGCCATGTGAATACATAAAATCTAACATTATATCCATTGTTAACTGGCAAACATGTTGTGTACATGTGCACAGGATTATCGTATTATTAAGTAGTTGATATTTTTATTTTAATTTTTTTCAATATTTACCCTTGGGGACATGACAGAATATAAATATTAGTTTCACGACAATTAAAAATCTATTAGCATTTGCACTGTCAGGAAAACTAAAAATTCCAATTATGACAAAATTGCTCAACATATTAGAGCATTTATTTTGTATTTGAATCAACTGAAATATTCCATTGTGTTTCTTTACTGAAGGGGAAAATGTGCTTTATCGGGTGGGACAATTTAACCACAACAAAGCAAATGAATGACGATAAATTAAGAACACAATTCACTGCACAACAGGAGCCAGATCACTTCCTGTGGACCCTATGATGAAGATGAAATAAAAATAAACTTCTTATAATAACAAATGTACGAAAGTTACAATCTCACATCGCAAACAGCTGCCTACAAGTGGAGACACGTATGAAAACTACTTTAATTATACTGAAACATGACATAAAGCTGCTAAAATGAAGGTGAAACGACAAATAACATGAAAGATCTAGAGATGATTCAGGCAAGTAACTAATTCGTTACGGCGTTTTAATTAAATTTGTTATGAAGCTGACTCATTGTTCGACTAAGCTATTTGTTTATTATCAATCAAGTCTAATTAACTGAGATGTAATTATTAAAAAATGTTGACACAATACTGTATAATAACTTTGAAACAAGTGAACGACGCGTTAACCTAAATCGAGTTTGTTTTCAGCTACTTTTACACCGTTGTCCGGAGCAACTTTGACAAACCACTTTCTGTCCTCCATCTTATTTACAGCGCCGAGCAGATGTGATTGGACGGCTCCGTGTTCCTCTGCTGCACCCGGAGCACCAGCTTTAGCTTCTACACCCCAGGGCGCGTGTCTCTTCTCTGGGTGTCAGCGCAGCCCCGTCCCCTAACCCCAGCGCTCATACATCAACGTGAACACAACTAGTCAGTCGTCAACACGCGCCCGGACACTGTTACCCCCTCTCCAAAAAGCCATACATCAACTTCAGGACCAAAAAAGAGAAAATGAGACAGGAGGATAAGAGGAGACTTCTCTATATAAACTATGTATGAGTGGATGCGAGGTTCAGGTCTCCAGTGCTGGTTTTTATCCTCCTTTAATAGACGTGAGTGACAAAGATGGGTTACTGGAAATCACGCAAAAGTCTCGGGACCCTGATGCATGTCTAGATCATTTTGACAGATAGTTTTGTGGTTTTGTAGAACAGTCCCACCCACTTCCAAGCTTGCCCTGGTTGAAGAATTACATTTTACATTCATTTTTCTCATAGATTCTAGATTTAAATGTCATTTTTGGACTTAAAACAACCGTGTTATGGATATTAGTGACCACGTGTTTGAACTCGAAGGGAAAAGTGAATAGGAAAGTTACTTCTGGAATGAGGGCAGCCACTTTTGAAACCCGTAATGAGACTATAACAAGAACATTTTGAAGGGATGCACACAGATCTGGTAAAAATATATATAAAAAAGCGCAATATTTTTACCAAAATACATTGTATAAATAAATAAACTCATATCTCTACAAGAGGTGAGCAATACTTTTTTAGTAATTTGTCATTTTGTTTAGTCAATTTTTCAATAATATTGCAAATGTTGTTTTGAAATTTGACTGATTAAATTAAAGAAGATTCAAAAGAGAAATCACCAAGTCAAAATAAAATACAGAAAAAGGGTAGAAAGGATGAAAAAGCTGTGAGCTCTGATTGTTTTGCAGAGACAGAAGTACCTGCTTCACGTGAAGACAATGAACAGGCAACAAAACAGAAAGAAGGTAAAATTAATAATTAAGAAGGACAAATCAAAAAGCTGAAACAAAGAAGACTAAGAAGCACATTGGTGTAACTTCCACGGTTTTTAAAAATCTCTCAAAAAAAAAAAAAAAAAAAAAAAAACGGACACAAAATTCTGTTAAAAATAAAAATGCAAAATATATACAGTATGTTTGTGGGTAATTTTCCAGTCCACTTATATTCAACCCGATGCATTTAAAGACAAATTTACACTTACACAATACACTTTTGTGGTTCATGTCACGGAGGATTTGAACTGAAACAAAAACATCTAGACTAAGACTTGGACTTAGACAAACTTTACTGATCCACACGGGAAATTATTTGTACACAGTAGCTCACACATATATACATATATGTAATATAATAACAAAGAGCAAAAATATAAATGGTAAAATTAATTCTAAATAAGTTGCAAAAAAGAGAGAAAGAGAGAAAGAGACAAGTGTCAAATAAGACATACTTATATAAATGTTAGTATGCAGCAGAGGTGGGACAAAGTTGTTGTTTTGCAAGTCTCAAGTAAGTCTCAAGTCTTTGACCTCAAGTCCGAGTCAAGTCCCAAGTCAAATACAGGCAAGTCCAAGTCGAGTCTCGAGTCGAGGCTTATAAGTCCAAGTCAAGTCCAAGTCGTCTGCTCTGAGCCTCAAGTCATTTCAAGTCCTTAAACCAAAGTACCAAATATATTTTAGATTTTTGCAATTTATTTGACTTTTAAGTTAAATTGTACTTATTAAGTCATAGTATATTTATATATGAGTATTTATTGAGTATATAAAAGCTGTAGTATTATTTTTTTTTTTTCCATTTTTAAATGTCTTGACAAGATCTTAGTGTGAGTCATTACAGTCAGAATAGAAGAAATTCAGATTTAAAAGTGCTTCTCAAGTCTTCTCAAGTCCAAGTCACTGACCTTCAAGTCCAAGTTGAGTCCCAAGTCTTAGTCCATTTTATCAAGTCAAGTCTCAAGTCCTAAAAATAGTAACTCAAGTCTGACTCGAGCCCAAAGTCACGAGTTGCAAGTCCCAACCTCTGGTATACAGTAAAAATAAAATAGAAAGATAAGTAATAAAATCTAAAATCACAGCACCTTTTTCTAATGGATGCCAAAAAAAAAAAAAAAATCATCTAATTATCATGATAATTCAAAATAGTGGCATATATTTTGTTTCAGCTTTTATTTTGCTTCCCCCACTCCTACGCAGTGACACTCAGACGCCACATGAGGGCGCCAGTATCCCACCGTGTCGCTCTGCTCTGCCTCTCTCTGCCTGGAGTTCTAGGTCACGTCTCCAGGGAGATTATTATTCAATTATTAAATGAAGATCGAAACTCTGCTTTCCATGTCTCCGGCTCTGCATCTCCCCATTACAGCTCGCCTCAGATCGCTCCTGAGTTTGATTCTAGTCCTCACAATCTGACAAAAAGAAATGAAACGATGAATATGTCTTCTTTTCCTTCACTTTTATTACATCACATACTCGCCTGCAGATGAGACTCGCTGGAGCTATAAAAAGTATACCATGCTCCCAGGGAACTATTTTTAGAGTAAACCCAAGACAAAATCTACTACAAGGGAGGTGTAGATGCAAATTGAGTGAAAAGGAGCAGAGTTTGATGCTCGCAAAGAAAACACGAACAGATAGAGGGCAAAAAAGAAAATGAAAAACTAGAGGCAGGGCAGCTCAGAGCATCCACAATAATCACAAAGCAAAATCGCATCCCGAAGATAAAAAGAACGCGAGCGAGAACACGGAAATCTACGTGTGACTTGAAAGCAAATCGAATTAATCTGCCAACCTATTATCTTTGAGAGAGTGAACCCAGATGCGCTCTTGTAAACACACAAACACAAACACAAACACGAACACGAACACAGTGAGGTGATAGTGACGAGAGCTGATACACAATCTAATGTGAGCTCTTCAATAGTTTGGAGAAGGTTCATAACTCAGGTATGAAGCAAAACAGTTACATTAGAGATACAAGATTATGATGATATGAGATGATGTTGAAGGTGGACAATATATACAGTCGTTTATTAAATCATGATTTCTTTAAATATATGAAAAAAAATGTAATATCAGGTGCACCAGCAGTCAAAAGTTTGGACTTACTCTCTCATTCCGTGTTTGTTTCTATATGTTTACTACTTTCTGCATCTGATATACATGCAGAAGACTTCAAATATATATCTTATTTTTATTTTTTATTTATTCAATATTTTACCAGGTAAGTCAGTTGAGAACACCTCCTCCTTTACAATGACGACCTGGCCAAGAAGCAGTAAAAAACAAAAGCACAAACAGAAAACATTCACACTACTATAACAACTATAACATGAAACAGTGACTAGAGATATAAGAAGTGAAACAATTACAGATTATAGATAGAAGTGTTGAAATATGTGCAATTATCCTGCAATTATATATGACATAAGATGTACAGAATTATATAGGAAACAATAAATACTCAAAACAATACACTACAATGCAATATTTTATAACAAAATCCTCAAATTAGCCACCAATTCAATTCAATTCCATCTTTATTAAGAACATGTAATATCTGGTTCATAATATTAAAAGAAAACAGTAAGAACCAT